ACTAAGTCTCTACCAGTTCAAGAAGATTGAAATCATATCAAGCATCTTCTCAGATTACAATGGCATGAAACTAGAAATCAATTGCAACAAGAACATGCGAAGACATTTGAAAACATGGAGGCTAAATAGCATGTTATTGCACCGTGAATGGGTTACCATGGTGATCAAGGAAAAATTAAAAACTTCCTGGAAACCAATAAAAATGGACACACAGCAACACAACATCTATGGGATGTAGCAAAAGCAGTTCTGAAAGGGAAGTTCATAGCACTACAGGCCTACCTCAAGAAACAAGAAAAATTTCTAATAGACTATCTAACATCAAAACTTAAAGAACTAGAAAGCAAACGAAAAGAAAACCCCAGAGCAAGTACAAGGAAAGAAATAGTAAAGACCAGAGCAGAAATAAATGACATGGAGACCAGAAAAACAATTCAAAGGATCAATGAAACAAAGGGCTGCTTCTTTGAAAAGATAAAGAAGATTGATGGACACTTAGCTAGACTCACCAAGAAACAAAGAGAGAGAACCCAAATACACAAAATCATAAATGAAGAGGAGAAGTAACAACTGACACCACAGAAATACAAAGGATCATTGACAAATATTATGACCAATTATAATGCAACAAATTTGACAATCTAAGCAAAATGGACAAATTTCTAGAAACACATAGTCTCCCAAAACTGAACCGGGAAGAGATAGAAAACTTGAACAAACCAATAACAACAGAAGAAATTGAAGATGTAATCAAGACTCTCCCAGCAAACAAAAGCCAAGGCCTGGACGGCTTCGCGGGGGAATTTTATTGAACATTCAAAGAAGAACTAATACCCATTCTCCTCAAACTATTTCAAAAAATTCATGAAGAAGGAAGCCTTCCAAACTCATTCTATGAGGCCAAAATAATTCTAATTCCAAAACCAGAAAAAGACACTACAAAGAAAGAAAACTACAGGCCAATATCCCTGAAGAACATAGATGCCAAAATCCTGAACAAAATACTAGCAAATGGAATCCAGCAATACAGCAAAAAAATTATTCACCATGACTAACTGGGATTTATCCCAGGGATGCAAGGCTGGTACAATATTCACAAATCAATAAATGTGATACACCACTTAAACAAAATGAAGAATATAAATCATATGATCATATCAATAGATGCCTAAAAAGCCTTCGACAAAATAAAGCACCCATTTCTGATTAAAATGCTCAGCAATCTGGAAATAGAGGGATCATATCTAGACATAATAAAGGCCATATATGAAAGATCTACAGCCAACATTATATTCAATAGGAAAAACTAAAAGCATTTTCCTTAAGAACAGGAACAAGACAAGGATGCCCACTTTCGCCACTCTTATTTAATATAGTACAGGAAATCTTAGCCACAGCAATCAGACAGGAAGAAAAAAATAAAAGGGATCCAAATTGGAAAGGAGGAAGTGAAACTGTCATTATTCACAGACGGCATAATACTATATGTAGAAAACCCAAAGACTCCATCAAAAATTTACTAGACTTAATAAATGAATTTTGCAAAGGAGCAGGATACAAAATTAATGTCAATAAATTGACGACATTCTTATACACCAATGATGAACTCACAGAAAGAGAAACTAAAAAAAAAATCTCATTACCATTGCAGCAAAAAAATTAAGATACCTAGAAATAAACTTAACCAAAGAAATAATGGACCTATTCACAGAAAACTACTGGTCATTGAAAAAATAAATAGAGTAAGATATAAAAAAGTGGAAGCACATACCTTGTTCATGAATTGGAAGAATTAACATCATTAAAATGTCCATAGTACCCAAAGCAATTTATAGATTCAATGCAATCCCCATCAAAATACCAATGACATATTTCACAGAACCAGAACAAGTACTTCAAAAGTTGATATGGAACCAAAAAAGACCCTGAATAGTCACAGCAATCTTGAAAAAAAAAAAACAAAGTTGGAGGGATCACATTACCAGATTTCAGGTTATACTACAAAACCACTGTAATCAAAACAGCATGGTACTGGCACAAGAACAGGCAGATAGATCAATGGAACAGAATAGAGAACCCAGAAACTGACCCAAGACAATATGCTCAATTAATATTTGACAAAGGTGTCAAGAACATACAATGGAGTAAAGACAGCCTCTTTAATAAATGGTGTTGGGAAAATTAGACAGCTACATGCAGAAAAATGAAACTAGACCATCAACTTACACCATACACAAAAATAAACTCAAAATGGATAAAAGACTTAAATGTGACTCATGAATTCATAAAAATCCTAGAAGAAAATGTTGACAACAAAATTTCAGACATCATACACAGCAGAATTTTCACTGATACATCACCTAAGGCAACAGAAACAAAGGAAAAAATGAACACATGGGACTACATCAAACACAAAAGCTTCTGCACAGCAAAAGAAACCCCCACCAAAATGTAAAGGCAACCCACTTCATGAGAGAGCATAATTGCCAACAATACATCAGATAAGGGGTTAATTTCCAAAATATATAAAGTCCTCATACAACTCAACAGAAGAAAGACATAAACCCAATTAAAAAATGGGCTGAGAAACTAAATAGACACCTCTCCAAACAGGACATACAAATGGCCAAGGGACATATGAAGAAATGCTCAACATAACTAATAAGCAGAGAGATGCAAATTAAAACAAAAAGGAGGTATCACCTCACACCTGTCAGAATGGCCGCCATCAACAAACCATCAAACAAGTGTTGGTGAGGGTGTGGAGAAAAGGGGACTCTATCTAGTACACTACTGGTGGGAATGCAGATTGGTACAGCCACTGGTTACCTCAAAAATAAAAATTGAACTGCCATTTGACCCAGTGATCCCCCTTCTAGGAATATACCCTAAGAAACCTGAAACACCAATGGAAAGAAGATATGTACCCCCATGTTCATAGCAGCACTATTTACAGTCACTAAGATCTGGTAACAGCCCAAGTGTCCATCAGTAGATTAATGAATAAAAAAGCTGTGGTACATATACACAATGTAGTACTATGCAGCTGTAAGAAAGAAAGATATCTTATCCTTTGAGATGACATGGAGAGACCTGGAAAGTATTATCCTATGCAAAACAAGCCAAGCAGAAAAAAACAAATACCACATGATCTCATTTATTTGTGGAATATAATGAACATAGCAGTCTGAGGAATGGAATCGTCCCAGAAATGTGGAAGTAGGGTACAGACTGATAATCTGCAGAAGAGGGGGTGGGGGAAGAGATAAACCACAGAACTTATATGCATGTGTGCATGAACAATGGACATGGACAACAAAGCTGGGGACAGGTCGGGGAGAGAGAGGGAGGGGGGAATCATTGAGGAAAAAGAAACATCTGTAACAAAAATAAATTTAAAAAGAATAATATTGTATACTATGTCACTGTTTGAGTCAAACAACTTGAAATAAAGATGTACATAAACTAAAATAAATAAATAAATAAATAAATAAATAAATAAATAAATAAATAAAGTATACGAACTCAGCCATATACAGTTACCTTCTCTGAACACCATACTGTGCAATACAACAAGCCGCACATTCAATACATCCCCAAATGTTGCGCACCCCCACCTTTGTGCACGTGTGGGCCATTCTTTAGAGAATTGTTTTTTCTACTGGGTATCTTTAATATAATCCACTTATCTTAGTATATGGATTGTCTTTCTTCATATTTTATACAATTTAGAGAAAAATGGTGAGGAGCAATAAAAATTAGAATATGTAGGTATTTAAATAATATTAAAGATACATAAGTAAAAAAAATTTCCCTCGTACTTAAATACTGAGATGTATTTTTTTATGAAGATTTTAAAATATGAATCATTGATTGGATATACAGAGCTGACTTGAGGTGGATATGTAATTCCTCATTCAATTCTTTAGCAAGTTCTCTATTTTACGTAATTTAGACCATCTTTGTTCAAGAATGAAAGAAAGGTCCTTTATATTTCTCTTAGATCAACATGTTCACAAATATCCTAATGCAAAGAGAATGTTTCTAGAATCTATCTTAGGGAGAATACATTTTCCCTTCTCAATTAAATGGAGAGATACTAAGTAAGTATGCTTTGAGAACCTTCAGATTTACAAAAAATGCCTCTGAACCTGGGGTGTCTTGGTTGGGGTTTTCATTATCTACCTTGGAAACTTACATGAGGAGACCAAGTAGTTCTTCATTTTAGTATCCAAACCAACCAGTTTCTATACTTCATCCTCTAAACCTCTCTGTATAAAACTAAAGACAGAATGTGGTTCATCTTCTCTTTCTATAAAGAGATTTTTAGGCAGACTGGTGCTCTCTGCATTAAGTGAACTCCTGCTATAGAAAGCAGGATTACCTAACAATATGTCTGATAAAAAAAGAAATCTTTCACAGTCCAGAACCTAAGTCATGCAGCTATAATGAATCAAACCAAGTATTTTTTGCTTTTTCTACAATTGACTAAAAAAAGTAGCCTAGGACAAAGTGTCAAGATTGACTTAGGAAGGCTATTTCAGAAGGAAATATGGATTCATAAAGAAATGTGGTTTCAAAGAAAAGACTTCAGACAGAAAATCAGGGTGAGTCCGGCTGGTGTGGTTCAGTGGTTGAGCATTGACCCATGCACCAACAGGTCACCAGTGCAATTCCCGGTCAGGTCACATGCCCAGATTGTGGACCTGATCCCCAGTGGGAGGCATGCAGGAGGCAGCCAATCAATGTTCTCTCTTATCAGTGTTTCTCTCTCCCTCTCCCTTCCTGTATCTCTAAAATCAATAATGAAATTAAAAAAAAAATAGAATATCAGTGTGAATACTTTGTGACATAGAGGAAGTAGGCAAAGTGCAAGAGTTGAAGTAAGAACGGTTTTAATGGTTGAAATCATTTTTTCTGATGTGCCTATGAAAGCAAAAAAAAAATCACAATAAATAACCACTAATGCATCATCTTCTTTGTATTCTTTCATATAACAATTCTTTTATTCTCATTTACATCTTTTCATACTAGCACAGCATTCTGAAGATGTGAAGCATAAGTTATATGTAACTGAGTAGAAAGATCAAAATCAACTCAGATTTCCAGAAGGGCTGCAAAACATGGAAAATGACAAAGTCCTTAACATGGAGAGCCAAGATGTGCTAAAAATGACTTCCATCTGCATAATCAGTGACAAAAATGTAAGCTCATATTGTTATAAAGAACATAATTATAATGCCTGCTGTTGCTATACAAAAATCCATTAGATAAAGAAATTAAAGTAATGTATAATAAATAACTCATAGGCTAATCATTTATTTTTCTTTCTTAAATGTCTTTCAAAATAATTGATGTTCATAAAATACAATGTATTACCCGTCCTGGGGTCTCCTGCAACTGAACAGGGACCCTACCAAGAGTGATGCTGCTTTCCCTTGATGAGGAAGATGAGTTCAGGATCCAGACTTTGTTTAGAATGTCCACTCCTTGCTGAATTTGTCACCATGGAATCAATTAGTGAATCAGTACCAAATAAAAATAATTGTTTCCTGCTTGAATCTGGTCCATAAAAACTGAAATCAATTCAACTGTACACATGATGAATTTTTAAAGGTGCCGGTTTCTTGTTCACATGGATTTTAATGACATCTTAATAATCCTTCAGAATTGTATTGCTGCTTATAGCAAAAATGAATAGTGCCACCATTTCTTCAACTATAAGCTGAGGCATGTTTTGTAAAAATAAAGCATGTGAAATCTTCATTTTGTAGGTCAGTATTAACAAAGGGGTCCTGATGTGGCTGGTACATAAATGCAAAGATTCATTTGCTGTCTAGAAAGTAGAAGAAATGTTACTATTTATCAAAAGCAGTGGAAAAATAAAATAGATAATACTCAAATTTTATATATTCAAGATATATTTTCTGATAGTCAGCCTAATTTGTCAAGCTGCAGAGGAATGTTCTCTGGTGGACTTTATAGATAAGACAACACATGTCCCCATTCAAGAAGGATATGCTTCCCAACTCTCAAGACCTGCACATAGTCAGGTATGGAGTGCTGCCTAATTAACCTGCTCTGAGCAAGCAGTTCTCCCCTTCAGATCATTTTCCATGTAGATGTGTTTATACTACTCCTTTCAAAAGGGCTATATGCTTGTTCTTTCTGCGATCCATTGAATAAAACCACTCTTTAGCTCCACCATCTTATATCTTATTTCCTTTTGTACATCTGTTTTTTCAGTTGTTTACAAATCTTCCCAAAGGCAGAATTTTATATTAAAAACTGAGGCTTGTTTAAGGAAATCTAACATTTTTGTAAAGGCTTCCACTTAGGGGAGATGGGGTCAGGCATTCATCCTTGTTTATGTACAAGGGGCCATAGACACCAATATCTAAAACACAGAGGCCTGAGCCACCTCTAGAGTTTTGCTAACACTCAAATGTCTATATATACATGATTTTCCCTCTGAACTCTGAGTAATTTGATTTTATTGTATTGAACACTACTTCCTCCTATTCTCTTATATTGTCATATTCAAATTTTAGCTCATGAATTGTAATTGTTAATCAGACTTTCACATTAAGCATCTGGGGTACACGCTGTGATTTTGGACAATGCATGGCCAGCCTGTCTATATGTAGCAATTCTGTATTTATATTAATGTTATATTCATTTTTTAAATATGTTTTTTCATTGATTTTGTAGAGAGAGGGAAGGGAGAAAGAGATAGAAACATTGATGTGAGAGAAACATCAATCAGCTGCTACTGCACGCCCCCTACTGGGGATCGAGCCCACAACCCAGGCATGTTCCCTGACTGGGAATCGAACCGGGACCTTTCAGTCTATAGGATGATGCTCAATCCACTGAACCACACTGGCCAGGCAAATATTACATTCATTTGAAATTTCGTTTTACTTCAGTATTTATTTTTAATGGCATATTTTATCACTATCATTTATTATTGAGTGTTTTGTCTCTTGTTAATTTCTAGCTCATTTAATTCCTCTTTTTATTTTATTTTCCCTTGTTAATATCAATCTCCCCAAATATCTACCATTTTCAATTTTACACAACCTTTCCTAATCAATATGTTAAATTATTTTTAATTGTTAAATTAATTAACTAGAAATAATCGATAAATGAAGTCAGAATTTTGCACAAAAGCTATATAGGTACTAACTTTTCAGAGGTAAAAATATTATCTTTTATCTCATTCCTCTCAAAATAAAGATGTAATATAGTGATCTGCTTGATATTTATAGGCCTTATTTACTCAGTCTTCATATATGTCTTAATTTACATTAAGCATCGCAAAACTTCAAGAATATATTTAAAAATGATAATTGGCTAGACATATCTAGAAAGAATTACAACTTAATTTATAACACCTCTTTGATAAAATGCAAAAAGTAATATATAAATTAATGTTACCAAAGTTACATGTATATATATATACAATTTGTTAAAACTATATACTTACTTATTTTGCTTTCATTGATCTGCATGCGCAGTATGAAATCATAAATGCAACAAACATTACCACGCCAACACTGAGTAAGACTATTTGTACCAGGCCAAGGAGATTTATTTTTCCAGTCACTTGTTTTTTGAACATTTCTGCCTTCTCATTGCCAATGGTACCAGTCTGTAATCAAGATAATAATTATCATTAATTGTGTAGATCAGTGGAGCAAAATACTTAAAATCCTCCACTTATATATCACTTTTTTCTCCAAACACTTATAAAGGTATTAGTCATTTGTATCTGTAAGACAAACCAATAAATTTTTTTTTGCATGTTAAAGAAGGCACTAAATGCCAAGATAGAATACAGAGTGAAATATAATTTCCCTCCCTTTAGACATGTTATCTGATCCTCTTCAATATATGAGGCTCCACTAATCTTTAAAACTCTCTTTCTGAAATCTTCACAATTTTCCAAAGGATGTTTCCTAGTGACAGAGAAAAATGGCAAGGGCCAACTATTTTATTTCCTCTAAAGACTTGTGCAATGCATTTCCTAGTTCTGTGGCTAATCAATTTCATAATTCACTAAAAATATCTTGTCAGGCAATAAGATAGACTGTGTACACCTGCTCTAACCTGGCTTTTATAAGTTTGGTTGCCTTTATTAACTATAATATTCAGTGAGTCCTAAATTATTTGAAGTTAGATGTATGAATACTTTTTCCTAACACAAGTACTATGACAAGGAAAAAAAAAAAGTTTAATAGATGCATCAGAAATAATCTAAAATGAGAAAAAGTGCTTTATCTATCTAAAAGAAAAACACAGAAAACTAACACAAATTTGATATTTCTATGTGGCTTGGTTCTCTCAAATACCTACAGTTAATAATATATAAACTCATCTATATGGACAATGAAAACACATACAACTTAAAATATTATACATTATAAGGTGAGGCAAAAGTTGGTTTATAGTTGTTAGTATGGAAAATGATACAACAATTAATGAATAATAATACAAGTATAAACTTTCACATACTCACAACTGTAAACCTACTTTTGCCCCATTCTGTATTGTCAATTTTGAAATGTCAAAAGTATTTTTATATGAAAATAAGCTTACTGTTTTTATTAACAGATAAAATACTAACCTCATTAAGCCAAAGAATAGGCACAAGATAGTTACTGGTCAGACGCTTTAAAACACTGTAATATAAATTTTAAAATTATGAAAATAAATTATATTACACATAAATAACAAAAAATTTAGTAATTACCAATGTAAATAAATATTCAGAAATTAGTTGCTCTTGCAACTTAAATTCCTCAATTTTTGTTCCCTGTAATGAATCATTTAAATTTTAATGTGGCTCTTTCTCAGACATCTTTTTTTCTAAAAACCTTTTTCTAAGCACAGATTTTTCCGTTAAACAAATTCTACTCAGGAAAGTAAAATATGAATTCTAGAAACTATTGTCATAGAAATATTTGGAGAGCTAGCCACTTAATACTTTAAAATATTTCAAACTATATCTAAATATCATTTCAGTGAATATCGGATATACCTCTAAATTACAAATACAAGTCATAAGCATTTACTAATAATTATTTAATAAAGTCAAGCCAAACAGAAGTTGAAGGTTTATATTATTTCCACATACTTCCATAGATTTAGTCACATACTTAAATACTAAAAATCATGTAAAGATAACCTTGGTCAAGAGACTCACTCAATTTTTTTTGATGTTTTCACCAATAGGTTGACCTGCAGCCGTTTTGCAAATTGTAAAGTGAATCCAGTTATCTAAAAAAGGAACAAACTAAAATTATTCTTAACTTCTTTTCAAATGATTCTTTTATAATAGTCAAAATTTACCTTTAATGTTATATAGAACTGAAGGTGAAACTGTTCTACTTTAGACTTGTGAAATTTATTCAATAATTAATTGGACATATTAAACATTTACTACATTACGTGCATATGCAGGTATGTATGCACATGCATATACATGCACACACACATGCATATTTTCTTTGTCCACCCTAATTTTAAGGTTTTAGTTAGAGTTGTGATATTTACCAGAAATGATTTTGGGGAATCAACAACAATAATAACAGTGTGGAAACACAAGAGCTCATACAATTTACTTAGTTTCTAAACTATGCATGGTCAAATATATATTCAGTCAGAATCCATGTATCATCAATTTAATGATGTTACTATCATTATTAAAATAAAAAAAATTACTACTAAACTTCTGGGATTCCATTTAAAAGAGAATATTAATATAATTTAAAAATTAAAACTGTTGGGTTTATAGGGTTCTTTATAGATTTTTCTTGTCTCAAATTCATAATACCCCTAAAATCTCCTTTGATCTTTCATAACATACAGTGTCTCTTCATATAAGCAATACTTGCATATAACTGCAAAATAAACATAAACTTGTATTTTACATCAAATTGTTTTAAGCCAATTAGAATTATTCCCATCACTGGTATTCCTGACCTATGAACCATTAAAAACGCTTTAATGCCCTGGCCAGTTTGGCTCAGCGGTTAGAGCTTTGGCCTGCAGACTACAGAGCAGAGGGTTTGATTCTGGTCAGGGGCACGTACCTTGCTTGTGGTTCAGTCCCTGGCCCTGGTCAGGGGTATGTGGGAGGCAACCAATTTGTGTGATGTTTCTCCCTCTCTCTCTCCCTCACACTCTATCTGAAGATAAATGGAAAATATCCTTGGGTAAGGATTTAAAAAACAAATGCTTTATAAGTTCCATATTATTAAAAACTAAAATTAAATTTCCTTGATATTTCATAAAGCAATAAAAAAACTACGTAATTTTCACTGAAATAAAAGTAATGTATCAAGATTGTGATTCAATAAATGTGATCAATAAATGTGATTGACAAGGAGAGAATTTAATTTTTCTTTAACTTCATTAAATAAAACAATATTAAACAAGGCAGATCAAAAGTATATTTGCTTACAGGTTCAACATCTAAGAATGTGCTATGTTCTTCTTCATTTGGTCTTAAGCCTTCAATTTTTTCTGAAACTTCAGGACTTGCATGCAGGAAATGAGGAAGTGAAATGATCACAGGTTTTCCTGAAAGTAAGTTTTAAGAAGATAATTGGGGATGAATAATTTTTCTCATTTCATATACCATTCAGAAAGGATCCTTTGAAAATAAATATTTTTAAATAAAAAAATGCATAGTTGGGCTTGAACACTAATTTTGGTAGATGAGGGTGAGGGGGACTTATAACATCTGATTGCTATTGTACAAAAATAAAATACAAAATTTTGCATTATCCTACTATCCAGTCAGTTATCTGTTGTTTATTCTTTGGGAGTTGATTTTTAATATGTAAGGTTTACCTGCTGAACAGTTTAAACCATATATGTTTTTGTTTTAGGTAGTAATATTTCTATGGACTGAGAATTAATTAATTTAAGAGGTTTTTCTTTTTTTGTTCACAGTACTCCAATATGAAGAAGGTGAATAAAACAAGACATATCCAAATTATGTGTAAGACAATTTTTGCTTCAGAGAGATAGTGAAATATATTTATTTTTATTTACCATTTTCAAGGATATAAAAATGGCAGATGGATAATTTGAAATGCTCAAAGTATTCTGGGAATTATTTTCCTTGCCCTAAATCTAAAAGGAATACAAGGATTCTATATAGTAAAGGAAATCATTAAAAAAAAAAAAGGCTACATATAGAATGGGAGAAAATATTTGTAGAACCAGATATCCAATAAGTAGTTGATATCCCCAAATCCAAAATATACAAGGAACCCATACAACTCAAAAAGACAAAGAACAAATAATAATAATAACTTAGTTAAAAAATGGAAAAGGGCCTAGACATTTTTCTCAAGCAATACAGGAAAATACTAGTTTGATTTTCTCAAATAATAACTAACTTATGCTGCACTGAAACACAACTGGGACCTTGAACACAACACAAAATCAAAACCAAAATTCCCTACCTTACTTTCTCCCCTTGTTGCTTTCTCACTTTAAATTTTTGGTGAAAAGGGATCCTGGGTAAAATTGACATTTTAAAGAATACTGTAGGTTATGTCCTGGACTATAATAATGAGAACATTTACTCACCATCTTTGCATTTGCTAATGTCTAGGATTCCATAATATGTACAATTATTTGAGACCTCTCTGTCTGTGCAGAAACAATGGTTGTCTGGATTTTGAATTGGAGATGCAAAGGCCTTGGGTGGAAGAATAAATCTAAACACCGAAATTCCTTTCAGGTTAATTTCGCCTCCGAACACAGCATAGATGGACCTAAACACAGAGAAGAAAAAGCTTGATTCCAGGAAACTAAACTACATTCTGAAGATTCCTTTTTTTCTTCTTTTTAGATTTATATTCTAGCTTTAACTTGAAAAAATATCTGATATACTCTTGTAAGAATTCTTGTTTAATTTTTAGGAAAAAAACCTCTTGTGAAATTTTAAGGCATACCAGAACTCAATACCTGAGTGTGAACTATTCTTATCTTGTTTTCAAAATCTTCTAAGAATAATTTTTGCTTGTGAAGTCCCATGGTGTATTGATACTAAAGACATTTCTCATAGTTTATTTCCTTCAGAGATTAAATATTTATATGACTGCCTCAAATCCCTTTTTGTGACCACTTCAATGAAGGAAAAATAAAATGTCTTTCCAAACAGTCATGGAGAGAAAGGTCATTCACTCGCTGTGGTGTGTGCTTGATATAATGCATCCTATACTTCCATCATTTACCAAGTGTCCACCATAACCTAGGCAATGTGCCGGGGCTCAAAAAATGTTTCTTCCAATCCCCAGATAACTCTATATGAAGAAACACTGCTGTCTTCAATTTCACAGATAAGGAAAAGATTCCGAGATATTAAATACACAGCCTTTGGGAACAGGGTTAGGATTCAAGCCTATTGGTGTGGGTTCCAATGCTGTGTGGCATCCACCAGGTTCCATCAACTTGAACAGATGCTATAGTGAGGGTTGAGCACATTCATTAACATAGTCCTGTGACAGCGATATCACATTCTCTGGGCATTTTAGAAAAACTGGGCATAGAAGGCTAGACTTGAGTAAAAAAGATTTCTTGCTTAGAAATGACAAGAAGAGAATGATTTACATTTTGCAAAATATCTTTCTACACCTCTTAATTTTTAAAGCATTAATAAACACAGTATGACTTCCATATTATATTTATTCTTCATGAATTAAGAAAAGTTTCACTAAGTGTATTTTATTCCGCAACATTATTAAGTATGAGCTTCTTGGCCCGTGTTTTGTTTCTTGGGGGAAAAAAAATTCTGACTTAGAAATATATCAGTGTCTTTGTCTCACCTGCAAATGTCCGAGGAGAAGAACTGCAGTACCCGGGTCTTCTCAACAAAAGGAGGAAACGAGGCTGCATCTGTTTGAAAGATAAGCCAGTGGCAAGGGGTTAGATAGAATACGTGTCCTGGAAGACTCTAGATGTCTCTGTTCTAGCATGATCGACAGAAATGATAATGCAAATTGTACATGTAATTGTAAAATTCTCCAGTAGCCACATTATAAAAAGTAAAACAAAACAGGTATGTTTTATTTAACCTGATATAGCTAAAATATGTCATTTAAACATGTAGTAGTGATAGTGATTCATTCATCTGCTCTAATGGCTGGCCAATATTATTGAAATCATTTTTTTAAATTCTCTCACTAAACAGAATTTCTTTTTTTAAACTATCTTTATTGTTGAGATTATTACAGATGTCCCATCTTTCCTCCCATTGACTCCCTCCACCTTCCTCCTGCCCCCAAACCAGGACTTCGCTGCACTATGTGTGTGTCCATTGGTTATGCATACATGCATATGTTATTTGGTTAATATCTTCCTGATCCCCTTCCCCTTCTCTCTGAGATTCGTCAGTCTATTCCCTACTTCCATGTTTCTGGATCAATTTTGTGCATCAGTTTATTTTGTTCATTAGATTCCACATAAACAGAATTCCTTGCATATGGTTTGAAAATATATTCATCAAACTGAAAAGGGCATTTTTTTAGTTTACTGAATTTCTGCTGCAGTTATTATCCACGGCACACACTGGATAGATAAAGAAATAATGAGATAATTCCTCCATTTTCTCCTTAAATGAATATCACCAAACTGAGCCACTACCGAATGTTTTTGTTCAAAATCATAAGACCCGTCCTTCAATTATAAATTTTAGGTTCTGTTTCTGGTAATTCTCCAACCTTGTAATCTTATTACCTTTCACTTATACTCTTGTGATAAGTAAAATATAACAGAAGATCATAGTGAACTTGTTTCTGGCATTAAGAGAACTGAATATTAAAGATTAGCTTAAACTCCCCAGATAGATCCCTGAATGGGCATTGCCTACAACTGCCTTACCAATGTCTTAACCATTAAAGAAAAAAGATGCATTAAAAAGCTCTAAAAATCATTATCTAAAATATCACTGAAAATTACATCATAATCACATCAGCGATTAGCTGATATCAGCAGGACATTAAAAAATTAAAATGTTTATTAGTATTTATATTTTTATGTCTCTTCAAACTTCCTGAAGAAGGCAGAGGAAGCATTTGGGAATTGTAATGAAAACACATTGGAACTTTTTCTGTTTCGTTGGTCTCTTTTCTTTAATGCTGTTGCTAAGAATCTGTCTCACAGGGATTACATCAGAGTCCCCTGCCCTGTCCAATCTACCTCTGCTCTTGGTTTGTTTTACTCCTGTTTTCCTCTTAGATCTTTTAATTTCATGCCAGTTGCTCATTTATTTATACTATTGTCATTAAGGAATACTCTAGCTCCTCTTTTAAAATTTCTTAGCGTTGGACAGAAATTTATAAGGATTTTTTTTTTCTTTTCTTTTCCTTAGACCAAGAACTCTTTAGGATTTAGGAACAGCATAGTGAATTTCACTCAGCATCTAAGAACTGAAGTATTATGCTTATGCAATTACTAGAGTTAATAGTATTGGAACACTTCACACTTTATTTGCAGAAATGCTTTACTTGGAAAGGAATTTCTCCTTTCTTCCTTTCATCTACCCCCATGGTTCAAATTGCTACAAAGCAAACCAGTGTTTTTGCTGTTTTTCTATAAGGGTATGATAATAAAATTAAAAATTTCAAAGTAAACAATACTTTGGTATTCCTGTGTTTCAATTTTATTCCGTTTTTTTTGTCTTTTTTGGTTTTTTTTGCATAACTTTGTACGTAACCTTTGTCTTTATTATGTTATTTTCCTACAGGATATTGCCTCACCAACTTTCCAAACATCATTCTTCTGCCTGTATTTCTTAGTTGTTGAAAGCTCTCTTCTGATTTTAATTACTCATGGTATTTGATTATTTCTCTTTAACATCTAAATTCTTAAATTAATAGGCATATGCATAGTTTGTTTTTCTTCAAGGAGTACAATTAGCCATATCTAACCATACTCTAAGTTCATAGTCCTGCCCTTTTCCCAATTCTAATTCAAAATGTGCATATTTGCATATATTTTTCATGGTTAGTACATGTCTAACCTTATTTTTTGCTGTTCTTTTATTTCTCATTCTGACCATCTTATTCAAAATTGATGGCTCTGTTCTGTAACATAATTTATTCTACCTCATCTTGAAACCGTACTTGGAAGTATGATTTACCTTTTGTATTATCTTGATGTTTTTATTGTTTAATTATTATCTTTATAGTATTTACAAAAGATGTGAATAGTAACTACTTCTCTAAGTTGTTTGTTTTTTTAACCCCTATTGCCAGGAAGGCAGTTCATTAAGTTAAGCTTTTACAAAGCAAACATTTCCCTAGTTATTCAATAAAAGCTAATCTTTAATGGTTAATCTTCAGAAATTCTATCACATCAAACAGATATTTACTAAACCTATAAAAGAACAGAGACTCTGAATTATGTTTTGGGGACATAAAGACTGATAAATACATACTTTCCCCTTCAGAATCCTGCAGGTGTGATGGTGGATTTGTGGGAGAGATGGAGGAGAGTTCATTGTGATTATTGCCAAGAAAATGATCTTACCTGTACCATTAACCAGGTCACAATAACTTGGCCAATAGCCGAGAGTCCTTAGGAATAAAAAGAAAGAAAATGAAGAAATGTTCTTATTTCAACAGTGCCTTTCTCATGTTACTTTGTCTATTAGGATACAATATTTCTGCTAAAATGAAGATTAGACATGACAGATGCTAAGTGTAAGAAATGTTCTAAATCCTTCAGTCCACATTTTTTTTGAAGCTTACATCTTGTTGAAATAAAGTGCCAGGTACCATTAAGTAACCAGATTATAAAATAAAAACTGCTTGTGTAGAAACAATTGGGAATAAACAGAGTCTGAAAAAAGAAAATTGAGAAAAATTGACCAGAAATTAGATCTCTGCTTATGGGATATATATATATATATTTTTTTTTTTACAATTGGAGAATTAAATTATTTGGTAGTTTGCTGAGTGTTCAAACTGAAGAAAAATATTAAGTAATGGATGTAAGCTCAATATAAGAGAAAAGAGGGGAATGGGGAGGAGAAAAGAAAGAGAAGATGTTCAATCCATAGAGACAGGAAACGTGGATAACCAATTTATAAACCCCTCCCCCCTTTAACTCTTGCATGAGCTGGCATTATAGTAGAACAGAGTTTATTAATTTATACTCTGCTGTCTAGAATACACACACACACACACAATAGTAATAGTTGCTCTGTATCCCCAGCCACCTTTTGGTGATGGAAAACTTTTTTCTTATTCCTAACATATCATCCACTGAGATATCAATGCAGGCTGATGCTTCTTTTGAAAAACAGAATTAAGCTGCCAATCATGCTCAGTGTTGCCATGATCAGTTGCATTAACCTTATCATAATCTTAAACGGATGTGACATTCTTATTCCAATTTAGAGCACTTAGCAACTCTCCTCAAAACTCTCTGTAATACTAAAATGGAGGAAATGTTCATGTTCTTCAATATATAAACAGTGATGTGATTTTCCCTGAAATGACCATTTAAAAATGTTTGTTTTCCTCCACTAGACTTCTCTAGAAAATATGTGATTATGGTCTCTGTAGAAGAAAAAGTACTACACTAGTGAATACTTAACTGTTGTAATCAATTTTTACATAGAAACTCAGGTGTAAGGAAATGGTTCCTTATATTAATAAACACATTTTACCTCCTTCAATTTCTTTCAGAGAGGAAGTTAGGGGGAGAGAGACACACACATCAATGTGAGAGAGAAGCATCGATCTGCTGCCTCCTGCATGCTCCCTGACTAGGAGTTGAACTGTGACCTGGGTACATGCCCTGACCGGGAATCGAACACGCCACCTTTTGGTGTACGGGAGGATGCTCCAACCAACTGAGCCATCCAGCCAGTGCCCTTTCAGTTTTGAATACTTTATTCTTTTTTAGAAAATAAGTTGTCTAAAGCATATTTATTAACTTTGAGAAGAAAAGGCTTTCTCCCCTGACGAGTTAGGATTCTTCTTAATTTATACATATAATAAATTACCTACATTCCAGTTGAATAGGCAGGAACTAGGAAAAGAAAAAAAAACATGGCTAAATGAACACATCTCATTCTAGTACTGCTTCAAATGAGACATGGTCTTTATTTTCAAGTTTAATATGCAAATTTTAAAATTACTTGAAATATTAATTTTATATTTATATTGAGAAGAATTTTTAAATGCTAAGCTATCAATATAGACATTATTTCAAAAAATGTTTGAAGAGGAAAGTTATGAAACGGTTAGCATGGATTTATTAAGCTTTTCTCTCTAGAGATATATTAGGTCCTATCAGTGAATGAACAATTTTTATTTTATGTGTTCAATAAAAAGTTTAAAAACACAGTAAAACATATTTCGACACCTGCTAGATGATCAGTTGATGTATTGATTTTCTCCCTTTTCATTCTGTGGTTATCTAATTGGACAGTGTTCTGTAATGCTGGTTAACCCCAGAAATGAAAATTTTACCTTTGGATTTCTTTATTTTAGAGAACCTGTATATAAAGGTAAACCCAACCCTGCAGTGGGGCTGATTTCCAGCAGCTAGACACTAGTGTGACTAGCTGTCACAACTAACGGGTAATGCCTGGTAGAACAGAATCTTCAGGGTGAGATACAGGCAGGTCTGTTCTACAGGTGGGTGTCTATGTGCCTTCCCAGACATTAAATGAACACCACTCCTGCTTTAGAGCACCCTAGTCTCACACACACACACACACACACACACACACACACACACACTTTACCTGGATACTTACTTTTTACCTTTATAAGTGTCAATTATGGCAACTTTGGTTACATCGTCTTTTCCACTGAAAACTTTATAAACTCCATCTACAGTATTGTTGTACTGAAAAGACATGTACAAGAAAAAAAATCACTTCTAGAACAACCGATACTCCCCACGTTATAAAATATGTAATTAATTCACTTTGACATTTCTTAAAGACCAGTTACTCCTAGTTATTTTATATGATTGAAAATACGTATGCAATAAAATTTTTAAAAAATATGTTTTTATTGATTTTTTTTAGAGAGAGAAGAAGGAAGAGAAAGATAGAAACATCATTGTGAGAGCAAAACATTGATGGGCTGCTTAGTGCATGCCCCATACTGGGGATCGAGCCCGCAACCTGGGCATGTGCCCCACTGGAAATCCATTGGGACCTCTCAGTTCATAGGACGATGCTAAATCCACTGAGCCACACCTGTTGGGCTATGCAATGAAGTTTTAAAATTATTTGTCTTTAACATGTTAAAAAGACAAAATATAAAAGGTGCCAAGATGTAAGTACTAGATGATGAGACAAAGGATGAAAACATATCAGAAGTTGATGTAACCCAGACTCTTTCATAATTAAACCAGTAAGACCATTTTGATTACTACTCTTATTATGTTGAAGTGAGGGGATATTGAACAAAACTTATGAGAACAATGACAGATTTCTAGAATTATTCTAAATGTTATGATCTTTACTAAGTCGTTACCAAAAATTAGGTATACCAAATAAAAAAGTTTAATAAACTACCCAAGGAAAGAGTTATGGATATTTGAGCTAAAGAAATACTGAATTTCTGATCCCTTACCACTCTCTACATTGATACTTAATTGATAGATAATGTTGCAACCATAAACACTCTCTAATAGTAAAATAACAACAATGTACTGGAGAATAAAACTAATATCACATAGATGTCAAATCACTGTCAAAGTTCCAATTCAAGTTAATCAGTTTGTCCTATTTACAATTCAAAACATTAAGCTATAGCTAAATCTATCACTGAGTTCACGTTTTCCTTAATCTCCAAACAGCCATTTCATGATATTTATAGAGCACTAGAAGTTCCTTTTTAAATTTTTGGTAAGATTTTTGTTTTGTTTCGTTTTGTTTTTTGGTTAATCTTCATCTAAAGATATTTTTCCAGAGATAGAGTGAAAGGAAGGGGAGGGGAGGAGAGGGGGAAGGGGGGAGGGGAGGTGGAAGGGGGAGAGGTGGGAGAGAGAGAGATGTGAGAGATGTGAGACATGTGAGAGAGACACATTGATTGGTTGCCTCCCACACAACCCTGGTGGGGGCCAGGGATCAAAACTGCAACTGAGGTATGCGCCCTTGACTGGGAATTGAACCCACGACCCTTCAGTTTGCAGGCTGACACTCCAGCTGCTGAGCCAAATCGGCCAGGGCTGCACCAGAAGTTCTTATTCATAAACCCCATAAAATAGGACATGAATAAACTATCAATCCTATGTGTGGGAATTTTGGCTCCAAGTTTACATTAAAACAATTTGTAAGAGGTCTAGAGAGTAAGGAATGATAGAGTGAACACATTCAACACAATGAAAATGTTGTATTAAACTTTATTTTCTGAGAAAGTAAATGAAAACTGAAAATAGTATGCAGGCCCTGGCCAGTTTGGCTCAGCGGTTAGAGCGTCGGCCTGCGGTTCGGAGAGACCCGGGTTCGGTTCCCGCTAAGGGCATGTACCTCGGTTGCAGTTTGTCCCCGGCCCTGGTTGGTCGTGCGGGTGGCAGCCACTCGATGTGTCCCTTCACGTCGATGTTTCTCTCTCTCTCTCCCTTCCTCTCTCTCCCTCCCACTCTATCTGTACAAAAAATGAAAAATATCCTCGGGTGAGGATAAAAAAAAAAAAAAAAAAAATAGTATGCAAAGCCTTACCAGTGTATAACCTAATTTTAGACCCAAAAAAACCCCAAAAAACAAAAAACCTATACAGTTATCAAAGAATTAAATTCTGATTAAATATCAGCTTCTTAATTTTAAATTTAATAGTTAAATTTAGATAAGTAATTTTATGCGCTTGGAAGCTGAAACCATAAGAGATAAAGACTTTAAAATTTTTTTCTTTATTGATTTTAGAGAGAGAGGAAGTGAGAGGGAGAGAGAGAGAGAAACATCTGTGAAAGATAACACTGATTGGCCCTGAACTGGGAATTTGGCCCACAACCTGGACATGTGCCCTGACTGGGAATCAAACTGGCGACTTCTAGGTGCATGGGTCGACGCTCAGCCACTGAGACACACCAGCCAGGCATGAGATAAAGACTTTTAAAAAATTAGAATATATAGTCTCAGATAATAAATAGGGTTAACACACTAAGTTATAAAATTATTAATTCCCAATGCCATTATATTTATCCAATTGAAGTATAACATTACTGACATTTATATTTAGTACTCACAGGAAAAAATACACCGATTGTTGTAGCAATAGGGTATGGTACCAAATTCAAGAATGGATCCTTATAGCCCCACAAGAGTTCTTTCACAGTTCTCCTTTGAAACAGAGATGACTTTGACTTTTTGATAAGTGAATTGAGTACCATTTGAACAAATGCATTTGGATAGAGATGGGGTATAGCCTGCAAAAATAAAAGCACAGTTCAAGACACCATTTTCAGTATTAAATATGTAACAAATAGATGGATTAAAAATCAAAATGAAGTTTAATAAAATTTAAAAAACGGTATCTCTAAAGTGACTGCCAAATCTTGCCAGAACTAAAAGTGTAATTTTTCTAGTGCCTAGATGAATCCATTTAACTGCCTCTGCTTCAGCCAGAAGAAGACGTTCAAAGTTAACTCTTATTTTTTTTAATGACACACTTTAAGTGGTCTTCCAATTCAGTTGGTGTTTTTTTCATCTTTTATAATGACAGAAGCTCCATTCAAATAATGACATAGGCACAAAATAAGTACTATCTAATGATTCTAGAGCATTTCAAAACAAGTAATTCCGTTTGCCTACGCACAGCGACGGCCAGATTGAGAACGGTGAAGGTGTCATTCTCTGATCCAACTGACAGTGTCGGTTCAAATATGGCACCATTGGGCTGTACAAAAGAGACTGTGTAGTTGTCAGAGTCGTGGGTTATATTTTCCTTGGCTAGATAACGAACTCTGAAATACAAAAGTAAATAAAATCCAAAATTATTGTGTCACGTGAACATTAGGCATCAAATGTCATTCGTTTGTACAACAAATATTTTGGGGGGTCTGTAGAATATGTCAGAAATTATGCTAAACAATTGGGTTGAAATGATAAAGAAACCAATGCAGGTCTTTAGCAAATTAGAGAATGGGGGTCTTAAATTTGCATAGCAGGGGAGAAGTAATATGTGTTATTACAGGAATTTACACAGAGTCCATGGTAAAACACAGGACACATACAAATCCAGGCTTGGGATGGTCATGGTGGGGATAAGGGTCAAGACATATTCTGTAGCAATTGTACATAAGTGGTCTGAATTACAAATAGAAGTTTAGTTAGGCAAAACAGGTTAGGAAGTGGCTCGTAAAAGCTAAAAAACATGGTGTATTTTTAGAAATGCAAATGGTTGAATTTAGTTGGATTATAATGTGAGAGAGTAAGGAAAACTGTGGGAAATAAAGCCACTGAAATAAGCAAGACCTCAAACATAAAAGATTGTATCTCCAATTCAAATGTTTAGCCTCTAGGCTTAAGGTAAGGAGGGGCAGGAGAAAGATTTAAGCAGCAGAATATTAAGAACACATTGTCTTAGAAAGAATGCTCAAAATACATAATCTATTCAGCCCTGGCTTTTTCATATTTCCCAGTACTTTAAAGAGAATTCAAGGTAACTAATGAAATATAATGTACTTTTTACAGACTAATTTCCCTCCCCTTCCCATACTGGTTAGGTTCTAAGCTCTTGGCTCTAACATATCTAGGCTTCAAAGTACCAACTACATTTTATGAATGTGTTGAAGGGTGACTATTATGGAGAAAAATATTTTGCAGGCACAAGATACTCACTGAGATGAAATAATAGACACATCAGTTACTGCACTATCATCTATTGAATGTGAATGATGTAAGGTAAATAGATAACTAATGTAAAGGCAAAAAATAGGACTGAAATGTACAAAGACAATACTTTTCACTCAGGTATGACAAAAATGTAAATTTCTGCAGGGTATAGATTATGAGGGTTTTGTAATTCCAGCACAGTACCTGGTGTATGGTGAGTTCTTGAAAAATAATTTTTGAATGAATAAATTAATTAATGGTTCATATTATTTCAAAAGAGAACTCCCTATTATTTAAAATATTTTATTTTTAATCTATTTCATCAAAGCTTTATTATTTATTCTTATGGGAGTACTAAAGATATATAAAGAATATAAAAATCTAAAACAGCACCCAGGACAGTTTATTACTATTCAATTACTATTTGTTCTTATAAAGGTGTATTTTAAAATTGTAGTACATATTATTAACATTTAAAATGGAAATACTTTAGTTTTCAGGAATATATATATATGTGCGTGTATATATATACATATATATACACGCACATATATATACATATATACACGCACATATATATATACATGTATATATTAATTGAAATAATAGCTAAAAAATGTGACCTAAATTCTCTAGTTTAGGTGAATTGTACTTACAATATTATACCAGTAGATGGCACTCGCTGAGAAAAAAATTCTTTAACTGAGGCCTGTTACTAGAATCTGCTTTTGGGTGGTTGGCGAGAGGTTGAAGAGAGCATAGAGGGGATAAATGCAATAAAATAAAATAAAAATTAAAAAATAATCACTCATTTTTTTTGGTTTAAAAATTAGAATGTATACAGGTTTTGGAAAGTGTTGGTTAAGAAGGTCAAAGGGAGAAATTTGCCTTATATTTTGCCAAGACTGCTTTTTTTGTATTCCTGCTAAAACAAAGTAACCAAAACAAGTTATGTTGGATTTAAAAATATTCTGAAGGAATTATTAAATATTCATATAAATTCTAGAGATGTTGTAGGTTGGAATATATGTAACTAGGATCTCAATCCAGAAAATGCTATGCTTTGAACCACATCATACCTTGTCAATCAAAGTTTCATCAAAGTCACTTAAGCAGCCATCAACCAAGTAAGCCTGTGGTTCTGTTTGAGAAAGAATAGTCTCCTACACTTCCAGTTTCAACTGGAGTCAGAGCATAATTTGTTCACCTCAACAGACAGAAGGTTCTCAAGCTATTAATTTTTTTTCTGAAAGGTGGTTTCCCATTATTTAAGGCATCCTAGCAGACACTAATGACTCATTTTTGGTGACACTGTGAGACAGGATGACCCCATCATGGTCAGAAATCCCTTTAACATAGTTATATAAGTAGAACTTTATTGTTTATAAACATTAGCTGTAATTCCAACTTGTTTTCTCCAACCCTCCCATCTCTGTCTCTCCAAAGACATCTAACCCACAACCCTTTGTCTCTTAGGAACAGAGGTTAAAGCCGCTAAGGATAAAATATATATTACTTGTTATCAGAGTAGGACTAGGATTAGAGTCAATAGTAAGCTTATGTATCCCCATATTTTCCATAAAGTAAAAAACATAACTTCCCACAAACATAAATTTAAACAGAAAACATAAGCTTTCAAATTCTAACAACTATTCTCTTTCTTCACATGAATTCAATTAATCAGGTTATGATTTTTAAACAATATGCTTAGATATTCATAGGTACACATCATAGCTACATTTTTTTTGGAATCAAGATATTCATATAGGCTTTTGATAACACAAAACTATAAGAACATCAAAAAGAAAAATAGTTTCTAAAATAAGCTTTTTTGGTAACTAAAAAGCAAGTCTTCTCAGACAGCATTGTGCAAGGTTACGAACAAGCACAGAGACGGGAGACATGGAATAAGGGCTCGGACAACATGGGCACTGAGGCCTCTGTTCATCATGTTCTATTGTAACAGGCTCTGCCCTCACAGCTATTGTTATTTCATTGTGTTTTGAGTGTGAGTTGTCAATCTAGAAATATAATAATGCATGGAGAGAAAAAAATTATATATAATTACAGATGATCTAAAACAAATATGATACTAACACTATAAATTATAAAAAATCATTATAAGTGTATTTTGTGGTAAGACTTGATCATGGTATATAACTATTTGAGGAAAAATCACACATTTGTATATCAAATGACACAGCAGAATTTAATTATGTTCCCATATGGATCTCATATGTATATGCCTAATCACTGGTTAAGGTTGATGTTTTTAGCACCTCAATTTCTCCTTTTTTCACTTTGATAGTGGGGAAAAAAAGACATAGTCTATAACTTAAATAGGAAAAAATAAATCCAAAAGTCTAGGAGTTACCAGTTCCAAGGTCTGTATAAACATGAACAAATTACATCACATCCCTGGCATCAGTTTTGTTTAATTGAACAAAATTAAAAGTTCTGGCTAATTATTTCCCCTAGTTCGAATAGTCCAAGACACCATTCAAAGTGCATTAAGCTATTAGGGAATGTAAGATAAAGGTAGAGCATAATAATGATAATGATGATGATGATGATGATGATGATAATAATAATAATAATAGATAATGAAGCTACTGAATACATAGAACGCCCATTTGATCTGAAAATTAGTTTGAATAGAAATTCTTAGCAGGTACTGTAGTTACATAAAATCTGTTTAGTGTGGTTCTCAAATTTGGGTGTGTTTTGGAATTACCCAGAGAGGTTTATAAAACTTATTTCTGGTTTCAAATCCAAGCATCTCAGATTCATTTGATGTGGGGTAGGGTCTGAGAATTTGCATTTCTACCAAGTTCCCAAGTGATGCTGCTAGCCCAGGAACCACACTTTCAGAACCACTGATGTAACCTATACATTCAATTTTAAAAAGTTAAAATACTCTAGTTTTAAAAATTCTGATATTTTTTCTATTGAGCAGGCATATTCCAGAGTTGTTGAGAATATATTCCACAAGTGTAAAACACTTGTAACTTCTTAAATGTAGGACAATTATTTGATGGTGGTCAATTGATACCTAAAATCTGTATTTCTTATAATCATTAAATCCTAAGATTAGGATTCTATATCGACAGAAACAAAATATTTCACTGTATATTATTGGAAAAATAATATAAGTACATTTCAAATTAATGGCATTTATCAAATGGAAGTCTTCTCAGAAATGCATAAGGTCAAGGAAAGAATGCCACTTACTTGAGTGGACTCACTCACCTGTACGTGTAAGGGCCTACTTGCTTAACTTTAATATTGCTGCTGTTAGCTATCACTTCATCTGGATTTTGCACATCAAAGATCCAAAACTGTCTGTAAACTTCTGTGCCTGTTTTAACCCAGTTTTTAAAGGCAGTTGTACCTTCTTCAAGAACAACTTCCTATAAAAAAAGAAAACAAGTTCGGGTTATTTGTTTGCAGTATATAAGGGCATTTCTGGGCATTTTAACCTTTGGTCAGCCAATAACAAGACCATGCAAAAGTACCTTGTACATGAGAACCTTTGCAATCTTTCCACATACTTGCAACACAAATGTTTCAACAAATTATTATGGCAACCTCTTTAGTTAACCTTTTACAAAAAGAATCTGTGTGTAATACTGCATACGTGTCTGCTGATTTGAAGGTCAATCACGGGCAATGCTTACACAGTAACCCTATGGCAATATTGCAGCAGTTAGTAACACAACACCATTTATTAAGCATGTTTTATTAAAGCTGTTTCAAAAAGTTCTATCAGGTAGATTGTTAACTTGTCTTCTGCCCTCAATGAGTTGGGTTGATGAAGCAACACAGAAAAACTGAGAAAAATCTGGTGGTAATGGAAGCTATTTTCTTTTCTTCAAAAGTTGGATACTTTAGGGGATGATCACTTAATATTTATTAATAAGAAAAAAAACGCTTCCGAATGAAAAACAAAGTTGACTCTCCCACTTCAAAATCATGCTCAATATGGCTAACTGTCAATATATTTGCAGCAACCCAACAGTACATTTCCAAAGATTACAGGTCTAATTAATTATTACTAAGATACTGTGTTTTAAATAAAAGAATTAAATAAAGAAGTTGTTCTAGTATTCTTTTGTGAAATCCATTAAAAATTATTAATACCTCCTGAGGCAGAAAAAAATACCAATGACAAAATTAGAAAACCCTATATTAGAATCTGTCCCTTTCTTCAGGAGCTGTGGGACTAAATGGAAAGTCACCAAACCCCTACAGGTTAATCCTGCGGGTTAATCTCATTATTTGTGAAAAACAGGGGTTTCCTTCTATGGCATTCACTCCCTGAGCTGAAAGTCTATGAGCTTCGTAACAACAACAAAGGCAACTTTGTGGCAGGCAGTATGTACTTCCAATTAAGAACCTTGGAAAAAATGCCCAGATGGAAAACTCCAATTTACCTTAGTGTGCAAAAGGAAGAGGAAGAAAACTATTTCACAGTAAATGAACCTAAAGAGGCCCACGAATATGGGAACACAATCTGATCTATTTGTTTTCTTCACCTGGAAGTACCAGTTCACAGAATGAAGGATCAGGAAAGGACACTGAACGTTATTATCATATTTTCTAGTAGAACACGCGGAGACACTGAGAATTCAGGTGGCTGGCCCCAGGACCACCTGGCACAGCGCAGTAGAATCACACTGAGAATCCCAGTCTCTGACCCTTAGACTAGTCCTCTTTAACACCATGCTATTACTGCCTTTTTTTTTTTTTTCTTCTGTCACCTCTACACTTAGTTGGTAAAAGTCAAATTGAGTTACATATCTTCAGGAAACTTTATTTATTGCTTAAAGCAGAGAAGGGGCAATTCCTTAGAGAACAGGACACCAGTCTAAGCCGCCGTTACAAAATCCTTGCTGTGGCAATCATCTCCACTGGGTACACTGGAACTGTGAGTAATGGGAGGCCCTATTGCTTTTACAACCAACTGTCCTGGAACAACTTGTCATCTGCTCCCAAAAGGTCTGATTTCTGTACGAACAAGCCCCGTATTAAGACAAAATTACAAATAGATGATGTATTATGGTTCTTCTTCTAAATGTAAGGATGTATAATGAGTATGTTGAAGCTGAAATCTATGTAGAAGCTGCAAGCTGTATTAATTTACCCATTTCAAGAGACTTATGAGGGAAAAACACATACGAACCTACACACACACGCACACGCACACACACGCACACATTACTCACACTCTAAGAATCTTAAGGGCTAATGCAATATCAAATATTTATCATGTACCCTTCAAGGCACATGTTTTATTTCAGTTCTTAATGAAAGAAAATGCTTATCGAATTGAAAAGGGACTGTGACAGAATGTTCTGGCAAGACAGAACAACCCCTAACTCTAATGCACATGGATTAATGTTAAAAGACATGGTATGTGTACTGTGCCTTTCTTCTAAAGGCCATAGATCACTTTGCCTTAATTGTTCATCTGAAGATATTTTTAAAAATGGGAATGTTGAAACACAAAGATTTAAAATGAATGCTTCGAATTATCAGCTGTTAAAGTTCGGGTCGTCTAAAACCATCCATTTTTTTCAGAGGTAGAGATGGATCCTAGAGGAAACAGATGTCTAATTCAATGACATATGATAATTTAGTAGCAGATAATAAAGAAGCCAGGTCTTTTCACTACCATTTTGTGCAGTTTCTATAACATCATGATTTGTCCCGAGACAAAGAGAAAAATATTGAAACATTCAAAATAGGAATGCATTTTTTCCTGATGTTAACACTATTATATATTACAAAATTGTATAGCTACTCCTGGACTACCAAGACTAAGTATGGCAGAAGTTCTTTTTAAAAAGGATCAAAAGATACAATGTCCTTTGTGAATTTAAAAGGCCTTGATTGAAAATTGGATTTGGACTATCTAGCCTAATCTGCAAATCCTTCACTAAATTGTAAGTATAATGATAATTGTTGTGTGCACAGAAAAAGTCATAGAATTTAAGATCCTCTCACTTGGTTGATGTGTGCATCATCATCTGTCCCTGACTTGAAGTATGCAGACTCTCCAGCCCCAGCAATGCCTGGATTCAACATGATGACTGTGTGGCATGGTCTCCACCTGGATTTGAGAGTTATTGACTTTGAAATTTCTGTTCTGTTTCATTCATTTGAAAGCAGATGTTTGTGACAGGGCATATTTTTAAAAATTCTACCTTCTTTAACAACTAATACTTCAGGCATTGTTTTTGATTTTTTTTTTTTTTTAATCCTCACCCATAGATATTTTTCTATTTATCTTCAGACAGAGTGGAATGGAGGGAGAGAGAGAGAAAAATTGATGTGAGAGAGAAACATCAATAGCTGCCTCCTGCACACCCCCCACTGGGGGTTGAGCCAGCAACCCAGGCATGTGCCCTGACCGGGAATTAAACCGGAACCTCTCAGTCCATGGGACAATGCTCAGTGAACTGGCAGGGCTGAATTTTTCAAATACTACAAAAATGTACAAACTTTTGTTATATGTAGAAATATTATAAGCATATATTATGAAATTAAACATAAATTAATTGATATTAAAATATAAGATATTAAAATATAATCTATTGATTCAAAAGTCTAGTCATTTTAATGAACATAGATAATTATTATTTAAATTTACTTTATCTGAAAGCATTTATTAAAAGCTACTAAAGGATCATTTTTATCAAGAACTGGAGGAAAAAAGGATGGCATAATTAAATAATGATATGATTGGACATTAGTCTTTTAATAAGTCAATAAAAAGAAAACTTTAATCCCTTCTTGATGTTCTATAGTAAATATCATAGAAAAATTAAATTAAAAGTTATTTAAAATTATTTATTACTTAGGTTACACAATATTCAGTAAACATTTATCCAGTGATATTAACAAAGTCAAGTGATAAATTATCTTTTGTGAACAGTTGCAGAACATGGACCTTTTTCTAAAGTGGAACCTTTTTCTAAAGTGCTTTGGTAGTTTGCACTTTGGGGGCAGCCTGAGCCACTGGCTTTTAGTCTCTTTAGCAAGATTACATAAATCTGCTGACTAAGCACAATTCTATTAGGAACCACAGTATAAAATGTTGGTAAGAAAGTTTCCCACTATAATCCATAAAAAAAGCATGAAATCCCTAAAAAAATCCCTTGGAAATAAAGAAATATATATACATATCTATCCCTCTCTCTCCTAATTTAGTCCCTCCATCCAGACTACCACTCATTCCTCCTCCCATCAGTGTTCCATGTACTCCATCACACTAGAACAGTGCCTTTTGGTACAGAATGTGCAAAGACCCTTCTAAAAGAGAGTCATTCCATATGAAGAAATGCTCAACATCACTAACCATCAGAGAGATGCAAATTAAAACAACAATGAGGTATCACCTCACACCTGTCAGAATGGCCGCCATCAACAAATCATCAAACAACAAGTGTTGGCGAGGGTGTGGAGAAAAGGGGACTCTAATACACTGCTGGTGGGAATGCAGACTGGTGCAGCCGCTATGGAAAACAATATGGTGCTACCTCAAAAAATTAAAAATTGAACTTCCATTTGACCCAATGATCCCACTGCTGGGAATATACCCTAAGAAGCCTGAAACACCAATCAGGAAGAATATATGTACCCCCATGTTCATAGCAGCACTATTTACAATAGCTAAGATCTGGAAAAAGCCCAAGTGTCCACCAGTAGACGAATCGATAAAAAAGCAGTGGTACATATACACAATGGAGTACTATGCAGCGGTAAGAAAGAAAGATCTCTTATCCTTTGAGACGACATGGAGGGACCTGGAAAGTATTATCCTAAGTGAAAGAAGCCAAGCAGAAAAAGACAAATACCACATGATCTCACTTATATACGGAATATAATGAACATAATAGTCTGAGGAATACAGTAGACCCAGACACATGGAAGTAGGGCACAGACTGACATCCCTCAGAAGAGGGGATGGGGGGTGGGGGGTGGGAAGAGATAAACCACAGAACTTATATGCATGTATGCATGACCAATGGACATGGACAACTAAGCCGGGGACAGGGTGGAGGGGGGGTGGGGTGGGGGGCGCCAATGGGGTAAAAAGGTAAAATATCTGTAACAAAAAAATAAATAAAAATTCATTAAAAAAATAAAATAAATAAAATGAAAGAGAGTCATTCATTTTCCTTGAATTTTTTTCTTGTTTTTCTGTTTTTTGTATTCTTTCTTTCCAATATTTTCTATTGTAGATAGAGCACAAACCTTGTATCATCTATTTTCTGCCTTGAGGTTGCCTAGGTTTGGAAACTGACTCCCCCTCCTTTGGCTAGGTGAGTTGGCAAGTTGTTTTAAAATCTTGTGCTGGTAAAATAGGTAAAATAATAGTACCATCTCATAGATATCTGTGAACATCAAGTAAATAAGTATATATGAAGCTCTTAGTAGCACTAAATACATGATTGCCATTTGATCTCTAACTGCATACCTACCAGAAAACATATAACAATGACTACTGCCTATCACATGGTTAATTAAATATTCTCCTGCCTGATGTTCAAAGCTTCCTATATCTTACCTCATGTTGTTCTCTTTCTAATCATCTCTTGTTAATCCCATATTTCTGTCACATCTTCTATATTCTTTCTTTCCTATTCACAACATTGCACTTTCACAACTTTCCCCATAGTATTAATCAGTCCTTTTAATGCTTTTATAGCAGCCTTCTTTAAAATTTCAAAATTCTATAGTTCTTTAAAAGCCAACTCAAGTCTCACCTTCTTTCTGAAATGATTTGAATACACCGAGAGAGCTCTCTTTCTAAATATCATTTATTTTTCCATATTGTACATTTTAGAATTCAATTCTAAGAGTCTCACAGGTCTCTCTCTATTTCTTTACAATATGCTTTTCCCTAGTTAAATCTTAAATTTGTTGAGACAAAAATGTATTTTATTCTCTCAGCAAATTTTTGATGTCTCAAAATTCTTATTGTCTCAGGATTAGCTATTATGAACATAGAGATGAATATTAAACAACTAAAATAGACACTACCAGTTTGTATGCCACCTAATAAATGGTCTATATGGCCTATATGTACTAATATTGTTGAAAAAAATAAATGATGATCAATAATCAGCTATTGATCATCAATTATGCATCAGAAAAAAAATAGTCTTAGTCTAAAATGCTGTGTAGTGGGAGATTATTGTGACATTTCTATTCCGGAGATTTTTTCAAAAGATAAACTGTAGCTGTGCGTTAGCAAGCACACGGATTCTGTTCTCTCTCCAGAGAAGATCTAGGAGAGAAGGCGCATTTTACAGAGTAGCAAGGGGATTAAGCACTGGCACTTTCATTTCACACTATGATCTATCTTTCTCTATCAAACTACATTAAAAGTAATATCGAGAAAATTGGGAATTCCAAACGAGGGATGACATTACATTTATAATATTTTTTTTCAGTGAAAAATTATTGGGGCTGAAGATTTACAATCTGTTAGCAATAGAAAAGCCAGAACTGACTCTGTTATTATGAAGCAAATGTAGCATGCAAGTATACAAACTATAACCTAAAAAATGTCCTACTTTTCTTCTCTTATAATAAGAAAGCAGCTATAATTTTAAGTGAGATTATTTCTTTTACCTTTAAAACCTTTATACTTTTTAGCTAAAGAAGGAAATACAAACTAGTAATTTTCATCATGAGTAACTAGATTTAAAATTAATTCTTCATATTGATTAATTAAGCCAATGCTTCCATGAAATAAAATGGTTTTTATTTATATTACTAATAAGGGGAAGATATCAAATATAGATGAATGAATGAGGACGATAAATGCCTTGGCAGAAACAGAAATTTTAGTATGAATTAGTAGGTGCAGCCCATTTTATGATCTAATCTTTGTTGTTCTCTACTGTGTACTGTACATATAAACCCTTTGTCTAGGCCACTGACATCTAACCAGGCTGAGAGCTGACAGCAGTACTTAGACATGTTTTATTTGGACAGGATTATGTTTTGAAAAAATAAACATCATGGCTTCCAGTAGAGCACACATTCTCACGTTCACAGAAATCCCTGTTCTTCATTTTATCTTGTTCCTCACAGCTTCAATTTTATTATTATTATTTTTTAAATCTGTCTCCAAACTTCTGAAACCATTTGAATTTACTATCTTTGGTTTAGGACTTCAGCAGATCCGTATGTCTTCCTCTCTTTATCAGTTACAGCGGGTGAGTGAAGCAGATTAGAAGGAACTAGGGTGGGAAATGAATTCTAGTTCATTGTGTAAATCTGTGTATTGAATCACTTTAATTTGGTTAAAACTACAGTCTACTTGTTGCATATACACTGGCATGTGTCCTATATAACATTTCTAAAAGTATTTTATGAAATATAAAGCTTTATGTATAGGCAATATTTATAGGACAATCATATATTATTAGACGTATTATAAAAAGAAGCAGTTTACCAAGTAAAAAAGAGTTCACTAGTTTTACCAAAAATTACTGATACATTATTAAACACTATTATGTTTAAAGGATTATATATAATATGCATTTATATATTATATATTATAAATATGTATTTACTTTTCTCAGTATTAACCAAACTACATTTACTCTTATACATGTACCCTGACAAAATATACTTACCTATTTTTTACTCAAAAGCATACCTCATACTGTTTAAACATAAACAATTATTTTAACTAACCTACATACCTATGAATAGCTTTTATCATAATTTGAATATTTATACTTAAGATAGCAATTCATTCATGGTAAATATACATCATGCTTTTAACATTTCTCTATTGTGTACAGTTGTGGTGGTTCATAACCACTTTGTATTAAAGACACAAAGTTGCCAGTTACCAGGAAATATAAAACAAGTACCCAAAGCAAATAAGGGACAGAAAATAGAATGAATCAGAATGACAAAGAAAATATCCTTTAGATTACTTGTACCTTTTTAATTGTCTTCTCAATGAGCATGTCTCCAACCGGCATGAGAATACCTCCAAACAAAGCCAGCACTGCACCAATGACAGCACCAGCAATGAGCCCCTGGTTTCGACTGCAGCCCATTTTTCTTGTTCAGGGAAAAAGCTAAGGTCTGGCACCTGCTTCCTTTAAGTCCCAGGTTTCTAAGAACTCTGGCTGTATTATTAAAATGAGATAATAAAACAAATTTAAATATCAACACAAACAGATCAAAGTACCAAGAAGACATATTCCTGAATCAGATTATTTTTCCAGTTATCAATAAACAAATGTTTTTCTTTTTGTTTTAAGATGCTGATTTTCTAGATTAGGGCCTCGTGTTTCTCACTTTTACTATCTGTCAGGGGTACAGCTTTAAAATATTGTCACATACAGCATTTCTTCAAAATTCTCCTAATTTTCTTATGAATAATTAACAATGAAATCTTATCTAAAGAGAACACACTCATCGTACTCTTGCCCTCATCTGCCTGTACTCAGCCTGTGAAACTCAGTTGCATCTTCAGCCTCCATCTGGCCTCTCCATGCAAACACAGCCATCCACACCTGCCCTGGAGTTTTCCTTCAAACTGAATGCGGGTGGACTGACCTCTTCTCCATCTAAGTGCTAAGCAAGTGTGGTAACATGTTCTCTTTACTATACCTGATTCACAGATGAACAGCCAAGATATGGATTTTATAGAACGTGATTTGATGAGTCTCAGAAAGAATCAATTCTTCTAATCATTGTCAGCTGTCTGTTAAAACAAAGAATCATGGGTAACTTGGGGAAAGACAACATTAGAAAATTCAACTAGAATACTAATACCACCAAAATTATCATTACTGTGAAAAAAAAAATCCCATTTTCATGGCCACTGAACAAATGCCTAAATTGTTTCTTGAATTGTGGAAAATAAAATATTTTGAAGTAATCTCTTTTACTTTCAATTTTATTGTTAATAATTAACTTTTGAATAGAATAAATGTGCAAAGAATTTGAAGAATGTGTATAATGTAAAGCATGCCTAGTTTTAATGCTAAGCATTGCTTTGTTACTAGTCTCAAATAATTTTTTACACTATCATTTGCAATATTATTTATATTGTCATGGGCAACTGATTTATGCCAACTCTTAAAATGAACTAGTTCGTAACAGTATGTATTTCGCCTAGTCAAATTTTTTTTTTTTTGGAACTGTTTACTATGTGGTTATTTCATAAAGATTGGGAGAAAATGATGTGGAATGAGTGGATCCTCTTGTAACAAAGTTAATAAGAATCTATTACTTGTGACTAATATTTGAAACCACATTCATTTAAGCTATTAGGATTGTAACAGCATATTTTAAAATGGGGTTGACCTGACATTGATGAACAGTCAGAATACTTTGTAGCTTATAAACAAATATCCCCTACCTCAAAATGCCCATGGCCAAGGAAAACATAGATGCTGAGAGAATGTAGGCTACAAAAGAGTCATGCACAGCATACTTTTTGTCAACACTTTAAATGTAATAATAAAAATTATATTTTGGTAGGGTCTTGAATTTCCCTCCACAGTTTTGTTGCAACAGTTGTACCAGTCTTATGATTTTATTAGTATTTATTTCCACTGTGGGACTATTAAGTTTTTCAAAAATATATTTTTATAGCTAAGAGAATAATGGTAAGGCAATAAAAAAAAAAAAATAGACTCCTCCCCCCCCTCAAATGGAGAAAAATAAATGTTACAAAATTTTTCCATGGCAATTTTATTTATTTATTTTTACTTGTTCTTATCCATTGTGATTTATCTCTACCTATGCCTTTACCTAGGGTACATCCACTGTAAATCAGGATGCAACAAACTCATTCACACCAAGGTCCTGTGGCTAAGAGGCTTGAATAGTCATGAGTGTCACATGTTTCTTCTAATGTAAAAGGAAAACACAAAAGCCTAAACTTGTGGCTTATTTTTCCTGTGTAATTTTGTGTCACAGAGCAAATGGGGTTGGCTTTTTATTAATTGCTTAAAGGTAGAGTATGAAGAATAGTTTTCCCTGCCCTCTAAAACCATGCAACATGCTACCACCTATGGCTTGGCCAGACTTGTCATAATACAATAGAACAAGTTATTTAAAGTTGATACTAAGTCCCTGGCCGGTTTGGCTCAGCGGTTGGAGCGTCGGCCTGCGGTCCGGAGAGACCCGGGTTCGGTTCCCGCTAAGGGCATGTACTTCGGTTGCAGTTTGTCCCCGGCCCTGGTTGGTCGTGCGGGTGGCAGCCACTCGATGTGTCCCTTCACGTCGATGTTTCTCTCACTCTCTCTCTCTTTCTCTCTCTCCCTCCCACTCTATCTGTACAAAAAATGGAAAAATGTCCTCGGGTGAGGATAAAAAATAAATAAAATAAAATAAAGTTGATAATAAGGATTGGAGAATGCCAAGTAGAATTACCTTGCAAAGTATAACTGTACAGCACCTTAAACTTTCCTTGAAACATAATCTTTTAAACAGCCATAGTAATTGCTAAGTACAGAATAGCATACTGCTGTTCTATATACTTTAAACAAATAACCATATTCAAGGTAGCTTATTAAGTAATATTTACTTAAAGCTCATTGCATAGGCCACCTTTCAACTCTTATTTGCAAGTTATCCAACCTGGTGTAATTGAGATAAGGAGAGTAGAGATTAAACCAAACCCGATTTGCCACTCTTTTGCCAGGTGACCTTGGGCAAGCCTTTTAATCTCTTTAAACCTCAATTTCCTCATGTGCAAAAAAAAATATGTTAAGACCAGATACGTTTTTAAATGTAAGCAACTGAAACAGTTCTTCACTCAAATTCTTACACGAAAGACCAATAAGGCAGAATTATTATGATTACAGCAGCTGTAAATGATTTCTAAATGATTTCTGACACGCCCCTTCCCACCTTTAAGAAACTCTAGGAGAATCTCTAGAGAGACCTATAGCTTTGCAAACCCATTTAAAAATTGAGACAAAAAATCCATAGTGTTAAGTTCCAGTTTTGTTTATATAACATCATGAATCTTTTTTTTAAAATACAACTTAAAGACTAAGTCATCCTTTCAGAACAATTATTTTGTGTCCTATATAAATTTCACTAAAAACTATTCAACATTAATATCATTTGCAAATCTGACCGATGGACTATAAGGTGACTCGAAAGTTACAATTCTGCAGTTGCCCAAATAAATGTATGTGCATATATTTGCTTCTTTCCAAATTCTATGCCATAATGTCGTCATGAATCTATCTGACTTATCCAGAATCTTTCTCTTTTATTCAAGTAATTCCCTGTACAGGGAAGAGTTTCTGCAAAGAGCAAACAGTCCCAAGAATGTCTACTTGAGGAGCCAGGGGGAAGCGCATGTTCTCCAACACCCCCATCTTTAAAGCTGAAAACTCATCATCATTATTTCTAAGAACCTCGGGCTAAGAGATGTCAAAAAATAGGGATGCCTAGATACTGCCAACTGGGAATGTAAAACTAAAGTGAAATAGTGTACATGTCTCAGTGTTGTTGAGTCAGGTTCATCAGAAAACAGAAATGTCAGGTAATTTGTTAACTGTCCAACCATGTGATTCTACATTAGTCAAATACCAGTCTGGGTGATATATAAGCAAAGATATAGGTATGAATATGAGATTGCTTCAAACAGGTACTGATATTTTTTAGAGAGAGAGAGAGAGAGAGAAAGAAGAAGAAGAAGAAGAAGAAGAAGAAGAAGAAGAAGAAGAAGAAGAAGGAGAAGGAGAAGGAGAAGGAGAAGGAGAAGGAGAAGGAGAAGGAGAAGGAGAAGGAGAAGGAGAAGGAGAAGGAGAAGGAGAAGGAGAAGGAGAAGGAGAAGGAGAAGGAGAAGGAGAAGGAGAAGGAGAAGGAGAAGGAGAAGGAGAAGAAGGAGAAGAAGAAGGAGAAGAAGGAAGAAGAGAGAAGAGAGAAGAGAGAAGAGAGAAGAGAGAGATTAGGTTTATTTACTTTTTCAAATTTTCTGATTGATTCACTTTTATTAATATGATGTAAGTTTTAACATTTTTTTTCTTTAAGTATAGGCCAGATATTTGACAATCTTGGGTTCATTTATTATCCTTGGTGCCATCACATAATCATGAGTAATTAAATATTGCAACTATAATTCTACTTTAACCTTCTGCCCCAGACTGCAAAATCACAATCAGTTTCATTCACCTGAAGCAGCAGAGGGCCAAACATATTATTGCAAAACGTGATGAGTAAATAAGGGAAAAGTTCAGGCTCCATCACACAGTCTATTCAATAGTTTCTACACTCATGTTTACCCTCAGGGGGAAAAATGTAGTTTGTTTCCACTATTCTTTCAAATTTAGATATTGCGAGCATGTAAACATTGTGTCTTACACACTTGGTTTCTTAATAACACAGCTCCTTACATATTAAAATAGGTAATTTATTTTCCCTGCTAATTTAGGATTCATTCTTATTCTTAATTATTTTTTCTTCATACAAAATAGACAAAATATCGGTAATAATTTGCTTCTTGCTTAAAGTACTTAAATTTAGAAAGCAAAGATTAATCACAGGTATACAAACAAAAACTTCTGTAGGGAAGATATCATGATTATAACTTTCATGAGTCTCTAGGGAAATCAGCTGTATCCTCTCAGTTTATAGATTATAAATCCAATTCCTTTTGTAGAATTAGTGAGAGTATCTTATTCCCTTGTGCTATATTTGAAAGAAGAAAAAAGAATAGAATTTTTTTCTTTTTCTTCTTTTCTGTCAAATCACCAGGGCATTTCTATAATGAATTTATGATCATTATGCCTTTCCACTATGTTGAAAAGCTGGTGGTAGAAACTGAGAGACTGAGCCATGAGAAGCCTTCCCAATACATAGGTCAGGAAATCAGAAGATTCCCAGGGAATCTGCACTTACTCCCATATGTAGGTAAAGCTATGTTCCCTGGGAAAGTCCACCCAGAAAAAGTATGGCACAAAGGTAACCTTCCCTGAATGTGAACTACAACACTTGAAGAAGTGTCTGATGACAAGAATTGTTGTATCACAGATGAAGGCCAAGACCTGGATGACATTTTTTTACTCATAGGTGACTCGTACCTCAAATTTTCTATTCTATCTGTAAGCCTTCCTTCCAATTTCCTTAAAACAGGAAAGCAGCCCCCATACACTTGTTTTTCACTACACACATACTGTTATTCTTTTGATACACAGTCTTCCTCACCTAAAAATACACAATATCTGCTCACAAAATCCATTTTGGAGTTTTATTTGGGGGGGGGGGTATTAATTCAATGATGCTAGTTAGCTTTCAAAATTAATTAAATCCTTTTTCACACTATACCACATCTAGGTGTGTTTACAAAGCCATGATTTCATTTATTTATTTATTTATTTATTTATTTATTTATTTATTTATTTATTTATTTATTTATTTATTTTTATCCTCACCCGAGGACATTTTTTGATATTTTGTTCAGATAGAGTGGGGGGGAGAGAGAGAGAGAGAAACATCGACGCGAAAGCGACACATCGAGTGGTTGCCACCCACATGATCCAACCAGTGCCGGGGACAAACCGCAACCAAGGTACGTGCCCTTAGCAGGAACCGAACCCGGGTCTCTCCGGACCGCAGGCTGACGCTCTAACCGCTGAGCCAAACTGGCCAGCGCCAAAGCCATGATTTCTTAGACATGACTGAGATTCAGATTAGAATCCGAGGGAGTGGAAATGAGTGTAAATCAATAATTTAAAT